TTACAGTTTTTTCTGTATTTTTGATCAAATAAATGCAGCCTTGATGAGCATAAGATACTTCTTTAAAAAATATTACAAGTCTTACTGATCCCAAACTTTTGAACGGTAGTGTATATACACTCTACAATCTATAGCAGTATATTGTGCCTCTCTAAAAAGTAAATAACGCAATACCTTCAGTTGCTCTTGATTGCGGATATTCATGCTTAAGTTGTTCAGAGCGTTTAGAGTCTGAACCCGAATCTCAGGTGAAGGGTCTGAGAGGAAGCCTGCTATGATGGGAAGACCTCCGAATTCACGCAGAAGATCCTAACGAAGAAAAGTGAAAAAAAATATTGTATATGATGCACAATCTACCTACAATCTACATATGCTTACTCTTCTGCAAGTCAAAACGTATAAACAAAGTCAGTCTAATACATAATGTCTAGAAGACGGAAAATCAGATGACCTGGTTTACTGTGAAGGCAGCAGCGTTTCCTAACGTTACGAGAACTTTCCTCCTCTCTTCTGGGTTTGGGCTGCTCTGCAGAAGCGAGAGAAGCATACTCAGATGTCGAGGCTCCAGGCTGGCAGCAGATTTTGAGAGAATATCACCTTATGAGAAAACAAACAAAAAAAACACACAAGAAAGGTTTGAATGAAGGAGACATCTGGGACAACAAAATGAAATTGACACACTGCCTCGGTTTAATCACTGTAATATTTATTGAGGGTTGATTGGGTTGAAAAACAACCCTTCAAACTTACAACGCTTTCAGTGAGCTAGACTTTTTTAAATTTCATAATACATCCTGAAAACCATTTGAATGTCACTTACTAGATTCAGTGTCCGCAGAAGGATCCAGATTATCACTTTTACTGACAACTTTAAATCCAGACACTTTGGCCGTCAGGCTCCCAGGCTGAATAGTCACACTTTTAGCAGATTTTTTTCTGTTTACTCCTGCATCTCCTGCGCGACCAAAGACTAGTTTATAAATGCCATATGAGGCTCCGGCTCCTGCTACAATGCCCAACAGAGCCTTCATGCTGCCGAGCCGGGCTACGACATTGGCATCTCCCATTCTGCGATAGGCGCAGATTTCACAGATACATGTTAACAGTAACACATGGTCCTTGTCCGGCAGGATAATAGTGATGTCCGGTTCGCGAACGAATTGTTCGATTTAACCGGTTCTTCTTAGTGAACCGGTTGAACCAGTTCACAGGATAAATAAGGATGCAAACAGTTCCTGGTCATACTCGTCACTCTGACAGTTTCCTCTGCATGTTGCCGCCTATTGCATCAGTGGACGACCAAAAGGTTTCGCGGAGTGTTGTAGTGATGTTCGGTTTCTGAACGAATCGTTCTTTTGAGCCGGTTCTCAGGAAGTAACCGGTCGAGCCGGTTCACAAATCGAACTGAATCGGACTGTAGTTCCTAGTTGATGACGCAGACAGCAGTGTTTCCCAACCTTTTTTTAGTTGCGGCACCCTTTGGACATTTTAACAAATGTTAAACCCTTGTGGCACCCTACAAAATTAATTGTCACAATATTTGAATTTCTAACTTCGATATGATAATTTGAA